CGGAATAAGCTTGTTCCATACACTTCCAGTCTACCTAACACTCAGCCATTGAATAATCAGTGTTCTTCGTGTCCACCTCTCAAACCTGTCTTATCGTTAGATTGAACAAAACAAACCACGCAGATGTTGGGAAGTACAGTGTATTTTATTCGTCTTGTTAAAAACCTGCTATTTTATGATTTGCTGAGGGACCTGAAGTATAGAGCTAACATACATCTAAATATACGCAATGAGCTTGTTCCACACCCGGGGTTCCATACCCTTCCTGTCTAGTTGACACGCAGCCGTTAAGTTGTTTTTCCTATGTGTCCTGTTTTAAGGCCAGAGCTAGACAGGAAGAAAATATAATAGCTTATAAAGCTGAAAAAAACATATGAGGATATTATTTGTGGAGAATATATAACAGTGGAGAATATTCTTGTAAAGTACATTGCACCTTGTCGAGGAAAATCTCTTCTCTTTGTGATATGCACGATCCAAGACTTGTCTTTAACTTCCTTTACCTTATTTTGAGACCTCAGCCGATTACATATTCTAAGTCCGGACTAGCTGAAGTTCAATTTTTGTCGTTTTTCCGAGTCGGACGCTTTTAAAAGGAGTTAAAAGCATAGTTTCGTAGGACCTTTAACTCGTCTGTTTGAGACATATGCTGCGATTTCATAAATTTAAATTATGATTTTAGCAAACAGCTGGAGTACGTACTCGATTAATTGAAAACCTGTACTATTTCAGAATTTGCTGAGGGATATAGTTTCTAATACAAGGACGCGTCTCAAATAAACTTCCCATCTGGCTAACATAGAGCCATTTATTTGTTCTTCCTGTGTGTCTCGGACACTTGCCTTGCTGCTAGATCGAGCAAGTTAGGGCTAGAGCTAGAGTAAAAATATATAACAGTTCATAAGTCTTAGGAAAAAAATATAACGATACTATATATGCATATCACACTGGGAATATTCTTGCAATGAAACTGCCAAGCAAAAATCTCTTCTATTCGTGATTCGGATAAACCAAGACTAGTCTTTTCCTATCTTTACAGTATCTTTTTTTTTTATCTGGGCGAGTTTGGAAGAAAAAAATTTTGTTTCCTGGGTCCTGGAACTCGTCTGTTTGAGACACGCAACGATGTCAATAATTTAATTTTACGTTTAGCTGAAACAGCTGGAGAATTCGTCTTATCAATGAAATGTGATTATGTGACGATAAAGTTTCATACACTGACACGTCTCAACACGGAATAAGCTTGTTCCATACACTTCCAGTCTGGCTAACACTCAGCCATTAAATAGTCAGTGTTCTCCGTGTCCACCTCTCAAACTTGTCTTGTCGTTAGATCGAACAAACGAATCATGCCGATGTTTGGAAGTATCATCACTTTCGTGTGTTTTGCTCTGATATTTCAGTTGAGCCAGGCTTCACCTCTACCTGGCATAGAAGACAAAATCAAGGTATGAACTTATTTCTGTCTGAAAGAAGAGAAATATACAAATCTTAGACTTGTTTTTGTTATAGTTGAATATCTTAAAAGTATACTTTGGTAGTAAACCCTTGATTTTATCTTCATGTGTAATCTTTCCTAGAGTGAGACCGAGACTGCAAAAGAGACAACTCTGAATGATGCCAAAGCTACTGAAAGAATGGTCTTCAATGAGGAAACTAAGGTATAAGTGCCGCAAATCATGAATCTTTGACCCGGCTTTGTTTTCTATAAAATAACTAATCTTTATTGATTTATTTATTGATTTATTTATTTTTTGTATTGCTTTCTTGAGAGGACAGACTTAAAATCACTTGTAAAAGTGTAGGGTTCTTCTTTTGCAAAATGCATGAAGTCTGTTCCGCAACCCCAAATTATGTGATATTCTTTTGTTTACTCTAAACCTTGGACAATATTAGAATTCAATGTGTCAAAATTGGCCTTCTGTGGAAAATCCAGTCTCTTGAATACTTCCTCGTGATATTACGACAGTGAGTTTTCACTAGAAAATCCTTAGTAGAAAGCTTTAGTTAAATTTATAATAACATCCTAACATATCTTATAATCGCTTCTACAATAAGCTCTTTCCAGTTTACAATGAATGTATACCAACGGAAAAAGTTACTTAAAAAGGGAAAACTGCGCAAAAAACATAAAAATTACCGTCGAGAAAGTCTCTAAAATCACCAAGACGACAAAAATTAATGGAATACAAAAGGTATCAAAAAATACTTTTTACTTTGAACATATAAACAGACAAAAAGGCTAGTAAAAAGACAAGCTTGTAAAGCTGATTAGAGAATTCAGTGGCGAAACTGAATCCACCTAAAAGTTCCAGATTTGGTGAGCTACATACAAACGTTATATGTGAGATAACACCCTTAATTAAACAACCTTTACATGTTATTTATATCAGATCACTGTTAATGAGCATAATTCCAGAACAGCTAAAAATTTCTCTTATTTAATAATGAGAGGTATTGCACTTGAATAGTTTAAAAATTATGTTACGAAGAGAATTGAGATTGAGAAATACAATAACATATTATCTCACAAATATACAATCTTATATAGTATATGTAGTACCTGAATAAATCAGTCTTAGGACCACTCAGTCTCTGTGTGCTGTGTATTAAAATAATATCTACAAGTGCTCAGACATGCTATCATTAACTCATTGAATTTTATTCTTTCTGGTGACAACACTAGCTACTATATTCTATTCACACAGCAATATTCAAACTTTGTCAAAAACTATGAGATATGAAGATCTGGAAAAAAGTTGCAAATGGTTAAAAGCTAAACTTACTCAATAGCGATAAGGCAAAACAATATTATTAATCAAAAATTAACATTAAAAGTTAGATTACTCAACTATCACGTAAATTTAGCTAGAGTCTTAGATATTGTTGTTCTCGAGTCTGGTTGGGAAAGCCTATTTTATGGCCATTTGGTGAAAGTCATGTTTGTTACAAAATTGCCAAAACTTTTGGTATATTTTTCGTACTTCGCAAACAAGACTTTATTTACCTAGAGAAGTCATGCGAGATATACTAGCTGTATAATAATTATATTATTCACTGATATATCCGTACCTTAATTATGGCAATATCGCATGCATGAGTAAACACGTACTCATCAAGATATTACAACCAATTATAAAGGAAATTGAATAAAGAGATCATAAGGATAAACACTTTCTCAAGATAAGCAGATCAGATAGACACCTACTCAAAGAATTATCAATTTCACTGTACAATCAGGCGATGGCTTGATACCACCATAGTTAATTGAGGGAATGGTTATGGAACCTGACAAAGTTCTTTGTTTTATGTTTTTGTTGTGTATTTTGGGGGTTGACCCTGCACAGAACCTGGCAAAATACAAAAGGTGGTCATGTGCGCTCATACAACTAACCAATAGTAACATTGCGATTCGTGCATAGTCAATGAGCGTAAAACAAAAGATGTGCAGGGTCATTAGGACCTTCCAACATAAAACCTAGCCTGTTTGTT